GGCGAGCAACGTTAACTTAGTTTGAGTAGCTAGCGTTAAATGAGTTTCGATGGTTGACTTTTGTACGAGACTTACAACTATATACAGCTTGTAACATATGACGTTGTTTTCTGTTTTCTCTGTTAGCTTGTAATGAATATAGTAAATTAAATACCTTGTGGGATGTATGCGAGAAATTAAAGCGATTACAAGATCTAACGTTGACCTCTGGTAATACTGTGATGGGCGTTTTATCAAAGATGTCTTCATATTGCGGGTTGAATCGAGCAAAACGCACGAGCAAAACCTTCCAGTCATGCTATAGATATCTTTAATATAGAGACAACTGTCTCCCATACACAGTCCACCAGAGAGACATTGAGTCATCTTTAACAAAGATGTTTGTTTATGGACTAAAATAAATATATATATTACATTTCTAAACTACTCCTTAAAAAGCCAGTGTCAGTTGGGCTATACATACAATATGTAATATATATCTATAACAAGTACTTTTTGTGTAGTTACAAAGTTGTGTCTGTAGCATAGAGTATTGGAGATAATAATAATAAATATCGGTATATACTGTCCATGATCAGATTCTGATGTACTGTAAATCATGCCAACAGTGCATTATTCAGTAGTTACTGTCATATAAACCATTGATTACTGAAGTGTTGTCGGTTTCTTTAATGCTAATTGACTTGTCGATTAGCCGATTCAGCACTACCCGAGCTAACACACCGTCCTGTGTTCCCCTTCAGGTGTCGGCCCTGTGTCAGAATAGCTCCAGCCTTCAACACGTTGAGTAACAAGTACCCACAGGTCGTCTTCCTCGAAGTAGATGTTCGCGTCTGTCAGGTGAGTCTGCCGCACGGTGTCAGTGATATAAGGAGAGCGATGGCTGTTGAATCTCTTTCCTCTGAAAGCCCAGGTGTAGCATTGATGTTCACGTTTATTAGATGATTATCTGAGTGCCAGGCTGGAAAATTATAGAGTCTTGTTTTCAGTAATTTCTTCAAACAGCTGGTCACTGTAGTTTGTAGCCAGTGTCACTCAAACTAGAGGAAATAGAGCATTTGTTGGGGACTATTTTCATCGGCGCATTAATCCATGCTTGATGCTCTAGTGAGTATTTGGGGCAGCAGGGTGTGGCATTGAGTCCAAAAGAAACTACAGTATGTGGGTGTGTTCATGGCCACATGTCACCCAGTGAACCAGGGTGGCTTGTTGATGTGGTTTTTATAGTTTTTTGTAACAATAGAGCTATTTGGCACAGAGGAAGAAGATACTGTACATCAGACTTTAACTACACAAACAGAAACTTGATGGTAGCGTCAGTTCAATGTTGGTTTTGTCTTTTCATGAGATTTGGTCACAGTAACAACAAATCCAGAACTTCACCAGACTTGTCCTTCAATTTGAAATGGCACAGGAAGTCGTTACTCTCCCAAGATATTACCAGCCATTAGGCATTAGAATTCAAACTCTGTGTGAAGTTGGCTTTGTGAAAAATTTGGACCAAAAAACTGTTCATTTCCTGTGTGTCCGTGTGTTGCAGACTGAGTCAAAGCAACAGAAAGTTGATCTGTAACAGAAATGTAAAAAAATGTTCCTTCTCAGGCAACAGCGGCCGCCAACAACATCTCAGCCACGCCGACGTTCTTGTTCTTCAGGAACCGGGTTCGGGTGGACCAGTATCAGGGGGCAGACTCTGCGGGTCTGGAGGAGAAGATCAAACAGCACACAGAGAACGACCCGGGAAACAGCGAGGACTCCGACATTCCAAAGGGATACGTGAGTTGACCATTTCTGCCTTTTTTTAAAAATAGTCCCAAATACCCCATAAGCTATTTTTGTAGGAATCTAGACATGGAGGGTAAGAAATGACATCTGAAGGGAAAAACAAATGAACAAGACGACACACAGTATGTGTTGCAACGTTGGAAACGGAACATAAGCATGTGCAGAATTAGTGTGAACCGGAGAGGATGCGAGTCAGCCAGATGCCTCAAAAGGACATGTATAAGTGTTTTCTTTGTCTCGTTTGGTCTGTTTGCAGATGGACCTCATGCCTTTTGTCAGCAAAAATGGCTGCGAGTGCCTCAACGAGAGCGACGACTGCGGCTTCGATAACTGCCTAATCAAAGACTCCTCCTACATGGAGTCCGACTGTGATGAGCAGGTACGAGCTGCTCACTCAGAATGTGCAGTATCGCAATCGCAAGAACGGCGGACAACTCAGTCTGTCATTTTTCCCATTCCCAATATTTGTGCAAAAAAAACCAACGGAAAAATGATCTTAAAGGAGAGCCCGTGTCAACCTTAGCCGCCACACAGCACACCGCGTTGGTCGATCAGTCAATCTGCGTACTCATAGCTAAACACGTGTGGGTAGTTAATTGTACTGAACTATAAGTTGAACTTGATGGTAATGTGTCTGTTTTGTTGCCGTCCTTTAATCTTGTCTAGTTGCTGATAACTATCGCCTTCAACCAGCCTGTGAAGCTCTACTCTATGAAGCTCCTGTCCTCAGACTTTGGTGAGTTTTTAATGCCGCTCTACATTTAAATAATCGTAATCTCCCAACTGGAGGTATTGTGATGAAAATACACTCTTGTTCTCCGATAGCTAACGTCCTGTCTGTTGCTCCCTCCTCCCTCCTCCCTCCTCTTGCTGTCTCCCTGCCTCTCGCCCGTCAGCCCAAGCCCCCAAGGTGGTGAAGGTGTTCATCAACCTCCCCCGGTCGATGGGCTTCGACGATGCTGAGCGGAGCGAAGCCACTCAGAGTCTGGAGCTGTCGGAGGAAGACTACAAAGAAGACGGTCTGATCCCGCTGCGCTACGTCAAGTTTCAGAACGTACAGAGCGTCACGGTGAGGGCCAGGTTGCCAACACACACTGCTGAGACAGAGCCATGGTCAGGCTGTAGACCAAATGTCACGCTGAATGTGCTGAAATGCACCGGCTAATATATTTCAATCAGGCGAGACGTACGCTCGCATCAGTCATGCAGCAGGTCTGGCGCCTTTCTTTCTATGCGCTTTGTGTTTACAGTTTATCATGTAAGCCGTATTTGAACCCACAAGAATAGTTTCTGATTTAATGAGTGAATGATCAACCGGGGGGCAGAACACCAGGGGCCCGTATTTATCAAGCGGTTCTGAGTAAGAAATCTGGAGATAACTGAACGAAAAACCTCATAGTTAGACATTTCTGGTCCTTTTATAGAACTAAGAGTGAACGCGTTTTATCATCACATGTCAATTTCCGCTCGATACATGCATACGGTCTTTTCAAAATAAACTTCTGACCTCACAGGACACTTACTTAGGTTAAGGCAACCAAACTACTTAGGTTTAGGGAAAAAAAACGACATTTAAGTTAGAATAACTACGGACATAGCATTACTTAAGTATGGACGTTATGCAACAAATAGATCAACCGTGACTTCATGTTTCACACGGGGATCGAACACTAGCCTCCTGTGTGAAAGATCGCTATTCGTTTGACCGGCCCGCCCTGTGTGGGCCTTTATGCGACCCGATCCATGATTACGTGGATTACATCCGTTTTGATTTTGTCTACCAATTACAGCGAGTAATGAGAGCAGCCTGACCGGTTAGTTTGTTTATTGACGCCATTTGTCTTCTTTTTTTTTTTTTTTTTCACCAGTTGTTTATCAAGTCAAACCAAGGAGGCGAGGAGACGACAAAAATCAACTACCTGACGTTCATAGGCACTCCAGTACAGGCCACCAACATGAGCGACTTCAAGAGGGTACGGACCAGTTACAGCCGCCTGGGCTCCTTTATGTTCAGCTTTGTCTGTGACTCACTCATCATTTTACTCTGTCGCCATGTAGGTCGTGGGAAAGAAAGGAGAGAGTCACTGAGCAGGAGAACCAAGGAGAGGACGGGAAGAAGAGGAAGAGGAGGCTGCAGATACATCCAAGGACTTTCCCTCTGCCAAAGCTGCCACACACACACACAC